CTGATTGCAGCACCCAGTAACGATGCTCTGTTGTAAGCTGCCTTTGCAGTGGCTACAGCCAGAATCTGCACATACAAAAGATAATTGCTTCAGGTTAAAAGCCATCAGCCTCTTCCATCCTTGCTGTCTTGGAGTTGCTACTGGAATTTGAGGACCAAATGGAAAAGCAGTCATGTTGCCCACAACCTGCTTATCTGATGATGTACTACTTTGATGTTGTGGGGGTTTTTGATGGCAAAGAAAGAAAAGATAATGTATTGAAGAAAAAAAATGGAAATGGATCACAAACTAACCTACTGTGAAACTTCTCAGTCTTAAACTTTTCATTCTGTCATTCCTAAAACAGCCCCCTTCTGGACGGTTGATATTTGTATCTTCAGACTTGCTGCTGACTTGGAAATATTCTTTTTGTTTCTCAGCATGTGGTTTTTATACTGTGCTTTCTCTAAGTGCACAGAAACTGCATTTTCACCACAAACTGCAACTGAAGTTACTGGTTTTCTGTAACACGCAATCAAGGATTCCTCCTAAACTCCTTAGAAGGTTTCTGCAGCTCAGCCAATTATGATACCAAGAGTAACTTTGAATTTTGCACCATCTTTCAATATATCTGTTTGAAGTTACGTATTGGAGTTTTTTTTAATATTAAGCAATGGACTTAATGCTCTTCTGCTACTCTTGTGAATGGAACATAAACCGTATCATTCAGGCAAGATGGACTCTCTTGCTAGCCTAGGTATCTGTATTGTGTGACCTACTTTTACATATGTTTTATATAAGAAAATTTGACAATAAACTTTACTGTGTTAAGTATTTAAAATTTTTTCTGTTGTTCACTTCACTTGTGCTATGATCCAAGGATGTTGGTTACAGTATTCAGTGTCTAAAGACTATTTTTTTATACTAATCTCATGACTTCCATCATTATTATCGTTCCTGTCTCTGTTCTCTATAACTTTTGACAGCACTTACTTGTGCAGAAATTTACTATTACATAAGTCTGTCACTGGAGTTTTGTTTAATTCTTTCTGAGTCTTTCTCTGCCAGGAAATGGTTGAAGTCTAAAACATAGATCCTTCTCCCCTTCCTGCCCCCACACCCTCTACTGCCAACTAAATAGAGGAATTTGGCACTCAAAGCCTTGGATCTACTCCATTAAGAATGAAACCATTATTATGAGGTGAGAAAGCTCTATTTAGGAAAGATACTTGCATCAAGAGCATCATCCTTATTTTAAAGGAATAAGGCTCTCAGTGATGCTCAGTCTTGTGAGTATTCCATTTTGGGTCACCCAAACTGATAAGCAAATGGCAACGTTGACATGTTCCTGGGCGTTCTAGAGTTACTGGAATTGGAAGAGTCACACAAGGATTATTTACCTGATGGAGGTAAATATTACTGATCAGAGATCTGTAATAAAGAACCAACCATCTATTTACCTTGAGTAGCTGAAAACTGCCAGCTGTGGTAACTACTAAGAAATTGCAAGCATTTATCTCTCAATCTTTGACCTATAATGTGCTTTGGGAAGCATTTGAAGGTATTACTGGCCAAAAATACACACAGCTTCTAAATACCATTATGGAGTTCAGCACTGCAATGTCTTCTTTCTGACCACAGCCATAGGTAGGCAGGAGCAATTTATTTGTCGCAGGTTTTTTGTTTTGGGGTTGGTTGGAGGATTTTTTGGGTTGGGTTGGGGTTTTGTGTTTTGTTTGGTTTTGGGTTTTATTTAATTCCCACTATGACTGAAAGATATTTCCTTCAGCTACCAGCACTTTGGCGTCCTAATAAATGAATTAAACTTTTTTTCTTCCAGAAGGGAAAAAGGTGTGTGTATATATATAGAGAGAGAGAGAGAGCTACCTCTTTCATAAACGATTTCCAGGGTTTTTTTTGTTAATTATTGCTTGCTTGGAATGTTTCTAGATTTGGAGATTTTTCTGTTGATTGAGAAAAAAAAAAGGCAGAAACTTATTTCAATAGGTCTGTGTCTGCATTCAGAGAGCTTCTAAGGTATGAGCTTCTAAATGAATTACTTTGTCCTAGAATTCTTCAGTCTGATATTAACTCAACTTTAACAAATGTAAGTTAAACCACTAGATAACAAAGAAAAGTTGGTAAATCACCAGTTTAACAACAACAAAAATATTAATCATGCCAAGTATTGTCCTAGTTTGGAATTTGATAGCTTATATTGCTAAAGAGAGATTGCTTGGAGAAACATATTTGTGGCCTTTTTTTGTGGGAATTTTATTGACCTCTTGAATTACTTAGGGAAAAGGGAAAGCTAATGCTGGCAATCCTTCTCTGTCCTTTCCTTTGCAGAAGAAAAATCACACTTCTAAAATCTTAGATTTCACTAGATGGCAGCATCTCAGTGTTTCAACAGGAAATTACGTTTGTTTAGAGAAACACAGATACCAACAAGCACAGTAAAAAACGTGTAGAACTTCCCTTTGCACAAAGGTCAGTAAACGTAACAGCCGTTTGAGATCTTTTGGCGAGTGACTATATTACTATTTATTTGTAACTGCTTCACAGAGTCTGTGACAAAAGTTGGTAAAACCTCACTGCTTTATTGAAAAATGTATTTATAGTGCATTTTGCTTCCCATGTGTTACGGTGATTTGGGAAAGTAATTGAACTGATGAGGTGGCTTTTGGAAGGAAAACAATTTTTCAGTTACATTGCTTCAGAAGTCTGATTTGTTGAACTTGTAACCTTCAGGAAAACAGTTTTGCTACAACTTTTGTCGGGAGAAACATCTGACAAAACAATGTCTCTTTGATCCAAATAAGAGAAATTAATAATCTGATTTGAGACATAGAATACTAAATTCAATTTGGTAATCTGAGTCCCAGCATGGATTTGAGCTTCTCTAGAAGATAGCGTTGGCTGCTAATGTAAGGAAGATTAAGGTACTCTTATCTTAACTTCCCAGTGAGGAACTCGGTGTGTTGGATTCACGTGTATATTTAAAGACTTTGTGATCTTACGACACCTTTCTACATTCACAACTACAAGTTTGCTCAGAGGATTATAAAACTGCAGAAAATTTTACTTATGGGGGAACCCAGTTAACAAACTCAAATGCAGTGACCTTTACTTTTTAGGCAGTTCTTTGAAACCCCCTACTAAGACATTTTCTCCTTAAATAACAAAAATTCCGTAGGAGTCAGGGGGTGGCATTTGCTTTAACTCTTTTGTCGCAGCTCTGCACGCTGTATTTCTTTAAATCTAACACAGCACGTGAACGTGAGCACTGGGGCAGAATAGAGCTGTGTTTTGCCTTTTGGCTGCTACACATTGACTAAGGCAGAAGCTCCTAAAGGTTCCCTGCCGCTTGCCCCAGGCATGCTCAGTGGTTCCCTGAGAACAAGCCACGCCACAGAGGGGAAACAAGACAGCTTCATTTCCTCCCCCCCACCTTCCTGCTTCGTTGGAGCTGGGAATCTGCTGTGCTGGAAGACTGTGAAAATCCAGAGCAGATACCACAACCAGGGTATTGTATGGAATTTATGAAGACTTTGTAGTTTGAGAGAAACAGAAGGAAGATCTGCTTTCTAGGTACACAATGGGCAGTGGACACACTAGATTACAAGCTATTGTACTGCTGTTTCATGCTGGCTTTATTTCTTTTTTTCTGCCTGTTTAAGAAAAAGTAAAATCCAGTTTCTGTTATAATGAAGCCTAACTCCTGAGATTAAATGCCTTTTGGTTTTGTTTTTCTTTGAGATCCTTATGTGTAACTATTTAAAATCTAAAAAAAAAAAAAAGAAAAAAAGAAAAAAGAAAAAGAAAGTTGAAGCAGTCATGCCCCTCAGAACCCTGAGGGTCATGCTGCAGCCAAAAAGGACAATTGTGATGGCAGAGGTACACTCTGGATCATATCTAGTTTTTGGAATGTACTTGCATCTGATTCCCAGGGGTTGGAGTTGGTTCATGTTTTTGTTTCATTCAAAGTTTCATTCAGTGTTCACATTCAAAGTTTCTGTGACATCTCCTGCCTGCACAGGTGGGCACCATGGGTCGGCTGGATGGGAAGATCATCCTGCTGTCTGCGGCAGCACAGGGCATCGGGCGAGCAGCTGCCATAGTAAGTTGGAAAAATGTTTGTTCTCCTGCACCTAAGCAAGGTCTCTAATGCTCGCTTGTCTAAAAGCACCTGCACCAAACTTGTTCTTGAATTAATTAACCATAGATGAAGCCAGAACTATGCACTGAAAAAAATGGGGAATAATGTATCCACTATACTGTATCATGGAGGCTTTGGGCTGTTCGAATTTCTGAAAATCTCAGCTCTGAGTGGAGATGTTAAGGAAGGATAAGAGCAAGATTTGAGAACAGCTGCAACTGCTTTTTTAACAACATATAGTTGGTATTGTCTGTACCTTTAATCCAGTATCTCTGCTGCTTTGTTCTGGACGACAGAGTGAGTATGTCCTGGTCTAAAGCTGAATATTGTGAAGATCCCCTACCATAAAGCCAAGACATTTTATCCATATTCAGAGTCAACATAACCAAGCCTACAAAACACTAACAAGAACACAGCTACAACATGGTTCACAATGAGCAACTATAAGAAACCCTCTAAAAATTTTGTTTGATTACTGTTAAACAAAATTCAATAGATATATTAACTTTCCACTTAGCTTGTAATTCTTTTGACCGGCTCTCCTGCTTACTTCCCTTTAACATAGCAAATAAAAAACCCAGTAAAGTTATCTCAGTACCTCTTTAATGTAATCAACAACCCAGGAAAATCTCCTGTAAATAGGATTTTTGCCAGACTAGTTAGTTTCTTGTGCATGTGGTTAGAAGACAACTGCTGATCTTTGCTCTTACATAAATCGCTCGGTCAAGGAGTAGGTAATCTCCCTGATAATTTCACTTTGTAAATACCCAACAAACCATGGAAGGCTGGTATGTTTAATGCCGCTATCCTCTTAAGGTGCACTTGAGACACTCATTTTGAAGAATTAAGGGCTACAGTCCAAGATGTCAGCGTACTTTTGAGATGGAGGTTACTTTGATAGCTGTTGATTTGCCAGTAATCACAATACAAAGAAAAAGTGGGTTTTGAGGGGACCATCAAGAATGAAGGAATATCTCTGGTTAAGTATCAAAGAAAAGTCACACTGCCTTTAATATCGTTCTGTTCCAATGATTTGGATGCAAAATATTTTGTTAAAGTTTATATACCACGTTTTACTTTTTATGGCTTCTGCCTTTAACTCTCAAATCCCACAATTTCATTTAAATCCAGCAATACAGACAATTCTAGCCCTACATTTATAATGTGCTTACTACTGCAGCTAATAAGGGCAATAAAAATATCAGTTGTCTTAGTCTGGTTAGTGTTCTTATACTTTATTTCTGGATTCCTTACGTTAAGGAAAAGATCTTAAGTCTGTCTTTTATCATGTAGTCATTCATGTCCAGTATTCCCTGACTTGTTGTGCCCAGCATGAAAAGTGTGAGATCAGCTGCCTTTGACCAACTTTTAATCCAAAAAAGACCTGAGAAGAAAACAGATTTTATATCTGATAAGAACTTGAATATCTAAATATAAAATACTTTTCTTGTATTTTTCAGGCCTTTGCTAAAGAAGGAGCCAAAGTCATTGCTACAGATATCAATGAGTCCAAGCTGAAAGAACTGGAGAAATATCCAGGTAAATGCAGGCATTAGTTCAGCTCTTCCAAGTTTTGTTGTAGGCTGTCTGAAATATAATTTGAGGACAGGAAAAGTTCAAAAGGCCAGGAAAAAAATGGAAAATATCCAAACTAATTCTTCACATGTTGGCATTGCTTTATTCTGTGGTGTGAAATGGTGGAGATTTAAGTGTGCAAAATTTTGCAACATCAGCATATCAGACAGATCATTATTCCTGGCATATGGAATAACTTTGAGTCTCTTGTGTCACAGAAGTTGATATTTGTTTCCCAGAATGGCACCCATT